AGATTGAATCAGTGGGTCTGAGTTTGAAATGTGGAAAAGATTCTCATTGCTCAAATGTAATATATCATCGTATTTCCTTTTACAATGTAGGGTTTTTTTTGGTAAGAGACGAGTGGAACACTTCAAAATGTTAAGTTAGTATTATAAAATAAGGTGCTCTGTGATAGGCAAAAGACTGTTCTAGTGGAAATAAGTTTTTCTTTGCTATCACTCATGAAGACCTGTATCATCAGTACACAGTTCCCTGTTAAAGTTGACGGTTCTTGGCTTTATAATGAAGCATCTTTTTACTTAAAAATTCTGAATGCAACTATGGGCTCTATGTCTCTTATATCTGGTAGTATGACATTCATTTTCAGCTCTCACTGCCTTCTTGTAGGCTGGTGAGATTGGAGAGATGAAGGAGGGAGTCCCAGAGGGGGCACAACTTCAGGGACCAGTTCATCGAAATCCAACTTACCGCCCAAGGTACCGGAGGTAGGTGACATTTTTCACTAACGACCACGTGAAGCACTTGTGAGCAATAGTACAGTGGATGAGACTATTGTGGGCCTGTTTTATGGATCTGTAATAATAATTAGAAGAAGTGGCTGCATCCTAAGTTTTGGGGGACCTCTGCAGTATGCTTTCAGATGGCCGTGGGATATTTTCCTGCCACCTAACAAAATACTTAGGTATCTCTGTACCAAACTATTATTTGTATTTATTAACTGTCATATGGTGTGAATTAATATTTAATTTTTTATTATAAATATTTAATGAAATAAACAGTAAATTAATTGATGGGTAATTCAGTGGTAGAGCAACAAACGGAGGAAGAAGTGAGTGCCAAGAAGGTATTTGGGATACTGAATTGCGAAAACCAAAGGCAGTGTAGGTGGTAAGTCAGGCTACAGATCAGATTGTGTTTAAATTCCCACCTTGTACCTGTGTCTCCTTTTGGAGGTTCCTGGACTGTCAGACTTAAGTTACCAGGTCTCTAAGATGGACACTGAAGAGTATTTTACAATTTTTAAAAGTACTAATGAATCTAAGATAATGGTACCGGTTATAGTCTGCCCTCAGTAAACACGAGACATTATTACTACCAGTGATGTTCATATTAGTGAAGGAATAGGTTATTTGTGCTTTATCCCTTGTGAAGACTGAATTGGGCTAGACTCCATAAGATCCTTTTAAAGCTCTTGATATCATAAGCCTTTCTGTTCCTCTTCCTGGTCCTTGATGTAAGTGAAAAAAGTAGACCTTCACTATTGAAAGGAGGGTAAGTCTATTATTTTGGGAAAGGATTTGTACCACTTTGTGTCCTTTTTCCTCACAAGATTCATTCCAGTTTTAGACATAATCACTCCTAATGATTAATTACTAAGGACTTTCAAAAATAAGACACTTCATAGAAATGTCTTAATGAAAACAGAAAGGGGAGAGTGGTATATGTAGATTCCAGCTCTGTCAATCCCTGGCTGCACGATCATGGGAAAATTATATTTGATCTTTGTTGACCTGTAAAAAGCAGAGTTCCCCGTGGTTCAACCAAATACTTAGCGTCTCTACACTACTCTTGGTTTTCTCACTATAAATCCGACTTCCAGAGTTAGCATGGAAATGAAATGTTTGACACAAAAACATCCTGGCACAGGCTCTGGCACATAGTAGTGTTAGTTTTCCCCTATGTTTCATCCCCCTGCCCCCACTAAACTGCTTGAGGAGAGCAGATACCAGACAAAACTTTTCTTTTTCAATCTTCCTATCCTTGGTGCCTGGCAGGTGCCTAGCAGGATCATGCTATGTGTCCAGTGTATGTTTGTTCACTACAAGTAGGTATTCAGCTGGAGAGGGGAAAATAGTGGAAAGATAAGTTTGTTGGTTGGTTGGTTTTTCACAAAAATCTCCCTTCCATTTGCTGCATTAGCCTGTGTGTAATTCTAGCGATCAATACCGATCGCTTGATCTTAAAAAATAAAGATTATTCTGAGGCCCCCTGGCCTGTTGCACTTGTGCTCTTTTCTTTCGTCGCGTTCTCTGCCCTAGAGGCCCTCCTCGCCCCCGACCTGCCCCAGCTGTTGGCGAGGCTGAAGACAAAGAGAACCAACAAGCGGCCAGCGGTCCAAACCAGCCACCTGCTCGCCGCGGGTACCGGCGACCATACAACTATCGGCGTCGCCCCCGTCCTCCGAATGCTCCTTCACAGGACGGCAAAGAGGTAAATGCAGACACAGAGCGGGATGTTGCCGGATCACCCTTAATCATGTCAGACCCTGTTCAGTGTTCATCCTGAGAGTGCTTAGATAACCTGGTAACTGACAGTGATAGAGCATTTTATATAAAACGTTATTTATAATGACCTTCATAGCTATTTTATATCTAATACGACGTATTTCATATAAATGATAATGTTTTTAATATATAATATTTTGCTTAAGATCTATATCTATATATGTTATGGAGAGAGAGAATCCCCTGTACATAACACAAACCCAATATTTGAATTCAACTAATTAACATTCTCTGAAAGAATTATGCATACTAACGGAGATTCAGAATTAAAATGTTTAGGGCTCTCTGAACAAAGGACGGCATTTAGAGGGGAGCCTCTCTAAGCGCGTATTGAAAGCAGTTGGGTATCAGAGACTTTTTGTTATGGAGAGTGGTGCTGTTTAGTTGCCATTTATGGGCCTTTCTTCTGTGGTACTAAATTTTGACTCCTACTTAAGAATAGTTAATTTTGCACAGTGATTTACCTTCATAAGCAGCAAGTTCTAACTTTTGAGACCTTTTAGTCTTGAACTTTCCATTGTCATCTGGATCAGTTTCTGATTTGTGGTTTTGTTGCGTGTTTTAGACCAAGGCAGGCGACGCGCCATCTGAGAACCCCGCTCCAGCCACCGAGCAGAGCGGTGCTGAGTGACACCAGGCTCCCCAGGCACCTTCACCATCACCAGGTAAGAGCTCCCCAGGCTCGAGTTGATATTTTAAGTATTGTTGACTTCTAACCTGAACTAGTTCTGTGGTTCCTCTGGGCCGACCTTTCATCTCTTTTCGGATCCTCGAGAGAGAGTAGTTTTAGTGCTTAAGTATGGGATTTGACCTTATTTTGCTAGGCTTTTGGGGGCGTAAACATCAGATTTTTTTCTAGACAATTTTTAATACTAATACCTCTTAAGAAAACTTTGAAAGTTTTACTTTTGTGACACCTAGTGGCCAGTTTGAACGAGTTTGCTGTACAGAATAAACTTATGAGAGTTTTTTTCTTCCCTTTGATAACCAACAGAATTTATTTTGAGGCAGTGCAGCATAATGTGTGAGAGCCAAGAGGTTTCTGTACTCAGTGCAGGATCTCCTACTCATTTGCTGGATGCTATCTAGTGGTTTGTTTATCCTCTACTTCAGCAATGTCTGCTGTTGATAAAACAGGGATACCAACTAGACTACCTCACTAGGGTTGGTGTAGAGATTTATGAGAGAACAGGTATGAAGTGCTTGAACAGGGCATGGTAAAGCGCAACCTCTGGGTAAAGGTCAGCTTGCTGTCTTTATTGGTGTTGGAAAATTTATGTAGGTAAAATATAACTAGAAGGACTGACCCAATTGTGAAGCCACTTATATAGGAATTTAGAAGCCATAGTTGTTTTCATTCTGGGTTTTTTAGCTAGTAACTCCTGGGACTTAAATTTTTGAGTATTTCTTGGTTGTTGCCCTTTTCATTAAAGAATTAGCTTTTCGTTAAAAGAGTTTGTTAAACCCATAGCCTTCGGTCAGGTAGACATTTGCTATGCTGGGAATATTGTATTTTATCTCTGGGTTTTGTGGACAATATATCATAGAATTAAGCTCCCTATTTAAATTTGCCTGCATTAACTGAGAATTGTTTGAATCATTTGGCTGTAACCTTCTACTTAGTAACATTATTTCTAGGTCTCCTAAGGAAATAATCCAAAATACAGGGAAACAAATATTTCTACTATCTATAATCTAACATTGGGAAAGGGCTCGATTTGGGGGTATATTCATGTTAGGAAATATTGTGCAGCCACTAACATGATTATGAAGAATTAGTGATGCTGTAGTCTCATTTATTTGAGAAGGCTTCACGATGGTAATTTTAAATAGTTTTATAAAATTTTTACTACCACGTACTGAATGTTCTGGTTTATGATAAAAATGTTTTATTAAATGTATAGTTTACAAATCTATAGATGCAAGGATAGATTCCATTTCGAGCTTCTGAAATACCGTATTTTGAATTAACATTTTTGCCTTTTTATTCTTTAACTTTTGGTCATTTTGTCACTCTTGGTTTTAATTTTTTTCCAGGTGACCTAAAAAATTAATGACCATTAAAAAAAATAAAGCGTAAAGCAGACCATGACCTTAACCAACACCAAAGAAACATCCAAGCAATAATGTGGAAGACTCATAACCAAGATGTGGACATTAGAATGTTTACTATTATTCTTTATGAAACAGACAACTGCAAAAGGAAAAAGTCAGCCAATTTTTCTAGCAAGCTGAGATCCCGGGAATGCCTGCACAAAAGACAAGAGAGCAACCTCCCCAGTTTCAGCAACCACTAGGTTTATATTTTTTTCCTGGTTTTTACTGTTTTGGTAATATGAATTGAAAGAAGAAATATTAATACCACATGGGGAGAACCCCAACCAAAGAAATCTGAAATATATAGTAAATGCTTTTTTTTCCTTTTTTGTTCATTTTGGATGCTGGTGCTAAACTTCCAAGTGTCGTGATTTAAAAAGAAATTTTATGCCCTTATTTATTTCTAGGATGAGGGGAGGATAACATTTTTGCTTTCTTATGTGACTCTTTAAAAATGTGCAGTATGAAGTTCCTCAAAAATAAAATTTTTACCCTTGAAAGGAAAAGGTGTATGACTGGAGTATGTTTTCCTATCTTAGCATATGTTTTATCTTTTCACACCACTTTATTCACAAAATAGTAAACTCAGAGCCAATGTAAAGGTGCATTAGTGCTATTTGATAAATGTAGGCATATGAGCTTGAGACCATGGGATTCCTCCTGGAAGGAACAAGTTCTTGTCTGAGTTTGGCAGTAGGCATGCTTCGTTCCTACTCTCTCTCTCTCTCGAATAATCTTTGTTGAGGTGTTATGATGGCATTTAGATTAGTTTTCTTTATATAAATGAAGGAGTTAAGAGTTCTGACCTTCTTGAATCTCCAACCTGAGGTTTTCAACACCAACTGCCATGTTGTATATTTACATGTGTGTCTTTCAGAAAAGAGGAAGAGGAGGGGCCCCTTTCCATCCGCACTTAGAAATTTCTTACCCCCCCGGGAAGATGGTGCCTTCAAATTGAGAAATGTTACAGTATATGTCAATGCTATGTAGTTACTTCTCAGATACACTGCACCTTTCAAATTTATCCTTTAAATCAGGTACATGTTGAGCCCTAGGTTTGTGCCAAGCATTATTCTGGTGGCTAGGAGGGAACAAACCAACAAAAGACTCTAGTCCCAGTGAGCTTGCATTTTAGTGAGTGAATATGGAGAATAAACAAATATGTAAACAAGTGTGAAATGTAATGTCAGAGGGCAATAAATATTATAAAAGAAAAAACATGGTAAAGGGATAAAGATTGGCATAATTGCAGGAGGTACATTTATTTTAAATGGGGGGGCGGTCTCTAAATGATAACAGAATATATAAATGGATTCATGAGGTGGGAGATCAATAACCGTTTGAATTTCTAGAGAGAAGAACATTCAAAGCAGGGAGAGCAGATGCAAAGACTGCAGGGAGGGAACGTGTGTACTTGGCCTGTTTAAGAAATGGCAAGCAAGGGAAAGGATTGTTCAAGAACTTGTATTGCCTTGCAAGTTCAAAAAAAACCAAAGTTGCACAAGGCAAAAAATATTCAAAGGTATAAAGTATTTTATGAAGAAATGTCATCTTAGCTCTGATTTCCTTAAGGCAACCAGGTAGTATGTTTTTTTTAAAAAAAGATCTATTTCAAATCTTTTACGTTCATGGGGGTTTGTGTGTGTTTGGCAAACTGATGCAACTCAGGGAGGGGGAAGGGGTTTTAACTGTTATTCTAACAACAAACATTAGATCTGTTTTTAAAATGCCATGGGTAAGTTTACTGCCCAGCTGGTGTTCTAACTGCCCCCCACCCCTTCCTGCTCATTTTAAACAATTTTATTGTGGAGTCTTTCAAACTTTTTTTTGAATGTCTTTTAACACTATATACACTGGCATTGACATTTTTTGCCCATCTAATTATCTTTATTGTTACTCCATTATCAAACGTAGGTAGAGTCCTCTCATCATTTGTACCGGCTGCACAACATTTCAGTTATATAGCTGTCCATAATTTTGTCAGCCCACTTACTGGATATTGAGGCTTTTTTAAAAATTGCAATTATAAACACTTTATGTCATAGTTCCAACATCCTTACCTCTAAATACTATCCATCTGTTTCCAGGTTTACTGTTAATCTGTTTCTAGAGAAAAAACAATGTAACAATGCATGCAAAGAGTTGGGGGGAAAATCTTTGGTAGTGGGTATAAGTATAATCCTAAAACACTGGTTTGAAGGTACAGAAGAAAGAATTGGATTTGATGTGAGGATGGGCCCGAAATAAGTTTTTTGTTGTTGTTTTCCTTTTACAGCAAGGGATCAGGGACTTGAATTGCTTTATCAAGATACAGAGGCTATCTGGGTGGGAACATAGCTGGAGATTAACTAGAAGGCTGTCATCTGCTGATCACACATTAGCTGTGATTGGTTAGTAAGCTCGTGAATTTTGCATGTGTGATGGAACAGCACCTGTAGAGAAAACCTACACAACTCGAAATATTTGCATGCCTACTATTTGCCAAGAGGGATGCTTGGTGCTCTTGTATCACAAATAGCTCAACTGACAACAGTATTCTAAGGGGCTCCTGCATTGCAAAGGTGCAATTTTTCAAAGTACTTTAGCTCTTGGTGGAATGGAAAAATGTATTTAAACACAAATACTTTGAGATTTTGAAGTAATAAAGTTCTTTAAATCTTAGAGCTGATGCAGATTGAAACTTCTGGGAAGCTAGTACTTGGTTTCAGTTGAAAAGAGGAGAAAATAAATGTAATCTCTTGACTCCAGGGGAGTGATTTGGTATATCATGGCATAGATGTCTTTCTTGTTTAATAGAAGTCTAGAAAGGAAACAGGCTGTTATAAATCTCTAAAAACTAGGTAATCTTGTTCAGCAAAGGTGATACTATATTAGTTTTGTCATTTTCTTAGGGTGAAAGCATTTCATCTGACAATCTAGCTCCAGAACCACCCAGATTTTCACAAAGGGATGGCAAGCTGTAATGGAGCTGAAGTCCACACTGGTAACGTGACAGAGGTTGCTTAGCTTGTCGATCCCTCCCCACACTTCTGTGTTTTGCCCAGTATTCTATTAAGAGGGCTGTAGAATGGAGGCGTGTGATAGAAGAGATGAGAAATCACTCTATGTTATTACCATAGTTTTTTTTCGTGCATTGATCTCACTGTTTAATTCAAAGGGGACTTCATATGTGGGGTTCAAAATGACTCTTGAGCCTACTGCATGGACATGGCACCATGGGTAAAAGTCCCTTTGATCAGTTGAGAACAGAACTTCTCAACCAATAAAATTATTGGGAATTGTGTGTGTGTGTGTGTGTGTGTATGTGTGATTATGAAATTCCTAAACCATTTTCTAAAATGGCTGTTATGGCTGAATTGTGTCCCTCCTAAATTCACGTTGAAGTCCTAACCCCCACTACCTCAGAATGTTAACCATATTTGGAGATTAGGTCTTTGAGGAAGTGATTAAGTTAAAATGAGGCCCTGATCCGATAGAACTGCTACTGTTACAAAATGAGGGAGATGCAGACACCGGGGGCTCACATGCACAGAGGGATGACCACATGAAGAGGCAGCGAGAGGGCAGCCGTCCGCAAGCCACAAGAGGCCTCAGGAGAAGCCAGAACTGCCATCTTGATCTTGGACTTCCGGCTCCAGAACTGTAAGAAAATAAATTTCTGTTGTTTAAGCCACTCAGTCTGTGGTGTTTTGTTGCGGCAACCTTAGCGAACTAATACATATCATTTTAATCTGCAGCAGCAATGTATGAGCGTCCCTACATCCTTGTGAGCATTTGGTATTGTCACTTTCAAAATTTGAGCTCTTCTGTGTCCGGTGATATTTATTGTGGTTTTAATCCACATTTCCCTAATAGCTGATGATGTTGAATATATTTTCCCGTGCCTGTTTGCTGTGTATTTTTCCTTTCTGGTAAAATGTCCATTCATGGCTTTTATAATTTTTTTATTGGACTTTATTTTGTTTTTGGCTTCAACTATTTAAATTTTGAGCATTCTTTATGTAATCTTGATATGAGTCTTTTGTCAACTATTTGCAAATACTCTTTCTTCAGTTTGTGAGGTGTCTTTTCATCCTCTTTAACACTGCCTTTTTTAGAGTGAAAGTTTTTCATTCTGATGATGTCTGATTTATTATTTTTTCTTTAGGGATTGTGGTATTGGTTTCATGTCTAAGAACTCTTCACCTAGCCTAAATCTTAAAGATTTTCTTCTGTTTTCCTCTCAGATAATTTTTGTATGAGATGTAAGATTTAGGGTGGGTTTCAATTTTTTGCCTATGGATTTCCAGTCATCCTAGAACCATTTCTTTTTTTTTTTTTTTTTAAAGATTTTTTATTTATTTATTTGAGAGAGAGAATGAGAGAAAGAGAGAGAGAGCACATGAGAGGGGGGAGGGTCAGAGGGAGAAGCAGACTCCCTGCCGAGCAGGGAGCCCGACGCGGGACTCGATCCAGGGACTCCAGGATCATGACCTGAGCAGAAGGCAGTCGCTTAACCAACTGAGCCACCCAGGCGCCCTAGAACCATTTCTTGAAAAGACTATAATTCTTACTTAATTGCACTGCTTTTATACCTTTGCTAAAATCCAGTTGGCCGTACTCAATGTGGGTTTATTTCTGGGGTCTTCATTCTGTTCCATTGGTCTAGTTTGTCTATCCCTCCACCAATAACACATTGTCTTGAGTACTGTAAGTCTTAAAATCAGGTAGAATGATTCCTCCCACTTTATTTTTTCAAAATTATTTTAGCTATTCTAGTTTTTTTGCCTTTTCATGTACATTTTGGGATAAGCTTGTTGATTTCTACAAAAAGTCTTGCTGGGATTTTGATAGGAAATGTATTAAATCCGCACATCAATTTGAAGAGGATTGACATCGAGTCTTCTAATCCATGAACATGGCATGTGTCTATTTCTTCAAATCTTTGATTTTTTTCATCAGTATTTTGGTTTTTAGCATACAAGTCCTGTACATGTTTTGTTAGATCAATACCAAAGTATTTCATTTTGTTTTTAGGAATTGCAAATGGTATTGTTTTTAATATCAGCTTCCTCTTGCTCATCACTAGTATATAGAAATACAATAGATTTTTATATGTAGACCTTGTATCCTACAAATGCAATGAACTTATTTGTCAGTTCCAGGATTGATTGATTGATTGATTGATTGATTGTAGATTCTTTGGGCTTTTCTATGTTGTTAGGAACAGGATTTTCATTATATTATTTGCAAATATAGGCATTTTATTTCTTCCTCTCTAATGTGTGTCCCCTTTATTTACTTTTTTTTGCCTTACTGTACTGGCTTGCTAGGACCTCCCATACTATACTGACTAAGAATGGTGAGAGTGAATATTCTTGCCTTGTTTCCAATATTAGAGGGGGAGAGCGTTCAGTCTTTGAACATTAAGTATCATATTAGCTGTAGGTATTTTTTTAGATGCTCTCTATCAAGTTGAGGAAGATCACTCTATTCCTAGTTTGCTGGGAGCTTTTATTCTGACTGGGTGTTGAATTTTGTCTAATACTTTTTCTGCATCAGCTGATATGATCATGATTTTTTCTCTTTAGCCTGTTAGTATGGTGGATTACACTGGTTGCTTTTCAAATACTGAACCAGCCTAGTATCCCTGGAATAAATGCACTCAGTCGTGGCTGTGTTCTGAATGTTTGTATCCCTCCAAAAGTAATACATTGGGGCACCTGGGTGGCTCAGTTGGTTAAGCGACTGCCTTCGGCTCAGGTCATGATCCTGGAGTCCCGGGATCCAGTCCCGCATCGGGCTCCCTGCTCGGCAGGGAGTCTGCTTCTCCCTCTGACCCTCCTCCCTCTCATGCTCTCTGTCTCTCATTCTGTCTCAAATAAATAAATAAAATCTTTAAAAAAAAAAAAAGTAATACGTTGAAATTCTAATGCCAGTGTGATGGTATCAGGAGGTGGGGACTTTGGGAGCTGCTTAGATCATGACGGTGGAGCGTTTTTCTAAAAGAGACATCACAGAGATCTCTAGCCCATTACCTTGTATGAGGACGCAGTGGGAATAAGACACTGGCCAAAAGCCAGGAAGAGGGCCTTCACCAGAACTTGACCCTGCAGGCACCTTAATCTTGAACTCTCAACCTCCAGAATTATTGGAAATCAATTCCTAACCTACCCAGCTTGGGGTATTTTGTTATAGGATCCTGAACAGACTAAGACTCTCATACTGTATAAATTTTTAAATATAATATTAGATTTAATTTGCTAATATGTTGTTCAGGATTTTTACATTTCTGTGCATGAGGGATATTGGTATGTAGTTTTCTTTTTGTACTATTCTTCTGGTTGTGCTATCAGGGTAATACTGGCCTTATAAAATGAGCCGGGAAAGTCTCCTTCCTCTTTTATTTTCTGGAAGACAGTGTAGAGTTGTTAATTTTTCTTCAAACATTTGGTAGAATTCTTCAGTGAAACCATCTGAGTCTAGAGATTTCTTTTTTGAGAAATTTTAACTCCAAATTTAATTTAGTAGTAATGGGCCTATCCAAATTCTTTCATATTGGATGAGTTGTGGTAGTTTGTGTTTCTTGAAGAATTGGTCCGTTTTATCTAAGTCATCAAATGTATGTGTGAAGAGTTATTAAGGTATTTCTTTATTGTCCTATGTCTCCAGAAATGGTAGTGATATGTTTCATTCCTGATATTTATAGTTTTCTTCTTTTTTCTTTTTTTGTTAGTCTCACCAGAGGCTTTCAAAATTTTTTTTTATTTAAGATTTTATTTATTTATTTGAGAGAGAGAGAGACACAGATAGTGAAAGAGAGCAGCAGGAGTGTGGAGGAGAGGGAGAAGCAGGCTCCCCACTGAGCAGGGAGCCCAATGTGGGGCTCGATCCCAGGACCCTGGGACCATGACCTGAGCCGAAGGCAGATGCTTAACTGACTGAGCCACCCAGGTGCCCCAGGTTTTCAACTTTAATGATCTTTTCAGAAACTAGCTTTTTGTTTTATTGATTTTTTTCCCTGGTTTTCTATTTTTTTATTTCATTGACTTCTCTTTATTATTTTCTTCTTTTGGCTTGCTTTGGGTTTATTTTGTTCTTATTTTTCTAACTTCTTCAGATTATTGATTTGAGACTTTTCTCGTATTTTTTTTTTTTTTTTCATGTAGGCTCCACACCCAGTGTGGAGACCAATGAGGGGCTTGAACTCATGACTCTGAGATCAAGACCTGAGCTGAGATTGAGTCACATGCTTAATGGACTGAGCCACCCAGGCATCTGCTCTCCTATTCTAATATAAGCATTTAATGCTATAAATTTCCCTCTCAGCACTGCTTTACCTGTACCTCACAAATTTCAAATGTATTTACATTTTCATAGTTTAATGTATTTTTAAATTTCTCTTGAGACTTTCTCATTGACCCATTTAGAAGTGTGATGTTTAATTTCCAAGTTCTTAGTGATCTCTTTCTGTTATCTTTCTGATATTAATTTCTAATTTTATCCATTACAGTCAGAGTATGTACTGTGTGATTTTAATACTTTAAAATTTGTTGAGTATTATTTTGGTTTACGGCCTAAGATATAGCCTATCTTAGTGAATGTTTTATGGCTTTCTAAAAAGAATTTTGTTATTTTTGGGTAGAGTGTTCTATAAATGTCAACTAGATCCTGTTGATTGATGGTGTCGTTAAGGTTTTCTATATTCTTGCACGGTTGTGGGGGGGTATCTAACTGTCTGGACCCAGTGGTCTCTGTTCCATGAACATGATACTGCTAAGTTTTGGGGGAGACAAGAGAAATCTGGGGCCTTATACTGACTGAGTTTGTTGAAAGACCTAGTTTGAGCCAGCCCATGTGAAGCAAGGGCAAGATCTTAGCACGTCTCCCATTTTGAAACCTCTTTTGTAGACTCCTATAGACCTAACTTAAACCTATCTTAACTCCTTCAAACGTTTAAGGAATTGGGTAGGACAAAATACAAGATTATAAAAATTTTGTGGAAAAAAAACCGTAAGAAATTATGGTATCATGAACTTAGAAACTTTAAAGTTTCTTGTACAAATGAAGAATACATTAAGTACCAATGTGTTTTTTTTTTTTTTTTTTTTTTTTTTGACAAAGAAAGCAGTGAGAGGGGCACCTGGGTGGCTCAGTCGGTTGAGTGTCTGCCTTCGGCTTGGGTCATGGTTCCAGGGTCCTGGGTTCGAGCCCCGCATCAGGCTCCCTGCTCAGCGGGGAGCCCGCTTCTCCCTCCCCCTCTGCTGTTCCCCCTGCTTGTGTGCTCTCTCTCTGTCATATAAATAAATAAAAAATATATATATATATAAAAAAGACACTGAGAGAGGGAACACAAGCAGCGGGGAGCTGGAGAGGGAGAAGCAGGCTTCCCACTGAGCAGGGAGCCCAACGCGGGACTCGATACCAGGACCCTTGGATCATGACCCGACTGAAGGCAGATGCTTAACGACTGAGCCACCCAGGTGCCCCTGAGTACCAATGTTCTTATTGCTTTAGATCTTCACAACAGTCATGGCTAGTTTTTTTTTTGTTGTTGTTTTGTTTTGGTTTGGTTTTTTTAAGTAGGCTCCATGCCTAAGGTGGGTCTTGAACTCTTGAGCCTGAGATCAAAAGTGACATGCTCTACTGACTGAACCAGTCAGATGCCCCCTGGCTAGCACATTTTGTTGCCATTTAGTAAGTAAGGGCATTGTGGATCCAGGTAACACAAGTTTATTATAAGGCTCAAACCCACAGAAATAGAGGCCATAGGGAGAAAAGCCTGGAAATGAGTAGATCTAGGTTCAAGTCCAAATCTTTCACAATTTTTAACCTCAAGATACTCAACATCATGGTCTCAATGTCTTTGCCTGAAAGGAAAGGATTGTAGCAATTATTTTTTTTTTAAGATTTTATTTATTTATTAGAGAGAGAGAGATTGAGAGAACAGATGGGAGGAGGGGCAGAGAGAGAAGCAGACTCCCTGCGAGCCCAACGTGGGATTTGACCCCAGGACCCTGAGATCATGACCTGAGCTGAAGGCAGACGCTTAACCGACTGAGCCACCCAGGTGCCCTGAATCAGTGGTTTTCAACTGGTGGTCAGAGTGAAGTCATTTCACAATTATCCTCAGCCTTCCCTCCACTCTAATATGCCATTGTCCTTTGTGTGTTACTCTGTCAAGGTCACACCTAGGCATGGCACCATAATTTCTTACGTTTTTTTTTCTGGAGCTAATTTATATAGCTCTCACTAAAGTAACCTTGGTACCAAGCATTGTAAATATATTATCTTCTACCTTTACTGCAAGACATACTACTTCCCTTTTACTGATGTGGAAACCAGTGGCTCTGAAAAATTAGTATGCTTGCATTCCTCGGGGTAATTAATGTGAGCTGCTGTAACAACCAATCTTAAATTTCTGTGGCTTAATAGAATACTTTTTTTTTTCTTACAGACATGTTTGGTTAGGTGGCTCCCCTGGGCAGTTTTCCTTCCAGGGGCTACTTAGGAATAATCTTCCATTCTGTGGCTCTGTCATCTTGAATGTGTGCTCTCAGCTTGTCCTGCTGCCGTCCAGCCAGTAGATGGGGCAATGAGACAGCAAGTCTGTTTCAGACTATGAGGGACGTATTGCTAATGCTCATAGTCCATGGGCAAGAGATAGTTACATGGCAGTACCTAGATTTAAGGGGGCCGAGCAAGCCCTTAATTGCACCTGGAGAGAAGAAATAAGTTAAGTGAGCAGAATCTCCCACAGTCTGCCACAATTCCAAAGCATGAAGTGTTAAGAGGTGAATCTGGGTTTCATTCACTGTCTGATTGGCTATAGGATCTATGTTTTTCTCTTTATGCCACATTGTAGTGCAAGGCAAAGGAAGGACCTACAAAAAGACTAGTCCGTTCTTCATGCTGCACTTGGTAGGGGCATGGTCATGATGAAACCAGGTCCTCAGCTTTGCTCACTTACAAACTTTCTATTTGTTAGCTCACCAAGGATTGTTTATTGCTATGTTTACAAAAAATGATTGGTTAGAAATGACATCTTAATAATATAAACTTGAACTCACAACCCCAAGATCAAGAGTCGCACACTCTACCAACTGAGCCAGCCAGGTGCCTTATGAGGTATGCAGAAATTTTTTAATAGTTTTTTTTTTTTTTTAAATCAACTTGCAGTTGACCATGTCTCAATAATATAGCCAGAAAAGTGTAAGTCAGAGATTGATTCAGGATTATCTTTAATGTTTTGCCTGAAGAGGGCTGAAATAAATAAGATATAATTAAAAAAAATAAGTGTACAACCCATCACAGATTGCACAAATAGAGGTTAATAATAATCTAGATTGTTATTATCAATAGTATCAGATAATAATATGGCAGTTAACAGTTATATAGTGCTTTTGATTTTTGAATACTTTCAAGTATATTTTCTTACATGAACTACTCAACAACCTGATGAGATAGATATTTTTCACCTCCATTTTACAAATAAATTGCAGGTTAGTGAAGCTAACTTAGTATGAGGAATAATTTTCTAGTTAGCAGAGCTGTTATGGATGGAATGAGGGGCCTGGTAGCAGCTCCTCATATTGAGGAAGTTTAGACAGAACTGGATGAATACCTGCCAGAGATGTCCTGTGGGAAAGGCATCAGTGGGCAAGAATTTGGAGCAGAGGAGTTTTTTGTGTTCAAGGGTTAGGGAATCATGGGATGCAAAACTTGACAAAAACTTGGAGCTAATTTACTCCATCCTCTTCATTTCACGAATGAGAAAACTGAGACCCAGAAAAGTCAACCTGTCTTAGTTGGCATAAGCTGCGGAAACTAGCTGTAGGTCACTGATCTCTAAACTACACTGAATGATTCTATGAGAATCTTGGGAATCTTGGGAGAAAAAGGCAAGGAAGAAATAAGTGGAGCATATGGTTGGCATAATGCCTCAAATCATCACATTTTCCCCCATGGGGAATATGAATACTCTTTCCCAGAATAAAAGTGGTTGGCAAGTGAGATACTCCTTTTGTGGTCAACAACACTTATGATCTCTCACTATTTGCAGGAAACAGTACAAAGAGGTATGAGATATGGACCTTATGCTAAAGTCTCGTCCAAGGAATGTGTGGTAGGCATAAAAACTGCCCCCCCCCACCCAGAGTTCATAATCTAATCCTCAGAAGCTGTGATTATGTCATCTTCCACAACAGAAGGGACTCTACAGATGTGACTAAGATTATAGACTTTTTAGATGGGAAATTGTCCTGTGGGCCCAATCTAAACAAAACATGAGTCCTTACAAGTAAAGAACTTTCTCAATTGTGGTCAGAGACAGAGAGATAATGATAGAATAGGGGTCAGAGAAACACACATGTGATGTGGGAAGGACTAGACTGGCCATTGCTGGCTCAACTGAGAAATGTGGGAGGTCTAGAAGTTGGGAAAGCCAAGGAAACAGATTTTCTGTAAAAGCCTCCAGAAAGGAACACAGCCCTGCCAATACCTTGATGTTAGCCTAGAGAGATGAGTGTTCCACTTCTGGCCTAGAGAACTGTAAAATAATTTTGTATTGTGTTAGCCACTGGGTTTGTGGTAATTTGCTGCCTCAGCAACAGAAAAAGAAACAATGTATACATGCAAAGTTAAATACCCATAATCCACATTCCCTAGGACACACCAACCTGGGTTAAACATGAGGTCATACTGATACGTTCTTTTGGTCTTTGTCTTTCGTTAGTTGCAGGACCTCAGAATTATTTCAAAAACCAGTTCCTCAACTGGCCCTGGGAGTCCTCAGGGCAGTGGAATACCTTGTAAATTTTCGCCAATCCAAATCCCGGCTCCTACGTGGAGTCTACCAGTTTCCTTCTCTGCCTTAGATTCACTCTGCTGATGTCTACTGTCCTTTCGAGCCCTGAGAAGCCCCAGTTAGGTGCCAGGCATTGCTGCAGAGACTCTATTGCTGACTCCATTTACAGCCTCCCGTCAGGATCGCTCTGTTTCTCTGTGCGGCCAAGCCTTCCAGGTAGGCTTCAGCATCCTGCTGCCCTCCCATGGTGAAGCTGGGCTGCATTTTCAGATAAAGTCGGAGAATCTGTCTGCCTCACTTCTGTGTTAAATGCCTTTGAAACAGTTCCAAAGCAACACTACCCAGGTTCTAATATAGTTTGTTGATGTTGCTTTGTGAAATAACTCTACTAGTTACAGTTACAGTCTCCTTTCCTTAGGACTCAGTTGTAAGTCCTGCCCCGACTCTCTTTTTCCTTATAATTAATGATTTCCCAGGGGTTTCTCCAGGCCTCACGTAAATAGATTTCAGGAGTATCCACCGCACCAGATTCCAAGCAGGGATCCCTCACAAGTGCAGGAATCGCACAAGAGAGAATGTGCTAAGTAACACATGAACGGATGGCTGTTGCAGGAGGTCCGAGGAGAGCAGAATATAGCGAAGGCACGTCTGGAGTAAACTGCAGAATGAAGTCTCCGGTGGATATTTCAGTGTGAATTCCTACAGTTCAACACTTCACATGAGCAGAGCAGATAATGAGCACTCAAACCAACGCTTAATGAATTAATTGTGGGGCAGAAATAACCACCTGGCAGGAATGGTGGGACGGAAGCATTGCTGAAAATGAGTCAGAGGGCCAGACATTTGAGAAAGAGGCAATAATTGAAATTATAAGGGAATGAACACTTGGAGAGAAAAAAAGAAGTAACAGATATCTAGCCACTATTCATGAGTATAAACGTGAGACCTTCTGTTTATACCTTGTTTAGCTAGCACTGTATCTAGTATGTACTTAGGTGTTTCTGTGTCTGAGCATTGCTATTTCCAGAATTTTCTCTATCTCAGAAATTTAAAAAATTTTCATCTTTTATTTGAATTGCTCAATAAAATTGGAGAGTAAATTCTGGCCTCTTCCTCTTTATTATATTTTGCTTTTTAAAAAAATCCCTATGTCCTAGAGGTTATAACTTCTATCACTGTAATAGTTCCTTCACAGTAATGAGATTTTTAAACAAAATTCTGTAAATTAGAATGGGGATGGAGCAGTCTAATAGGGTGCTGCACGAATTACAAATATGAGCAAGCTACAGCCTCTGCCTCAGGAGATTCTGATGCTTGGGAAAGCAGAGCAGGAGATTGCATAATATGAGGCTCAGATCAGTTCACTCGGCTTTTATTAATCAATCATGACCTAAAAGATGGGAAGAACAGTTGGCTGATGAGATTTCATCCTTTTTTAAAAAAATTAATGTAATATTCATATAACAAAGTTACCCATTAACCATTTTAAATGTGCAATTCAGTGACATTTAGTATAGTTCATCTAATTTTTAAAAAAAGATTTTATTTATTTATTTGACAGAGAGAGGGAGAGACAGAGAGAGCACAAGCAGGGGGGGAACAACAGAGGGAGAGGGAGAGGGAGAAGCAGGCTCCTCGCTGAGCAGAGGGAGCCCGACTCGGGACTCGATCCCAAGACCCCAGGATCATGACCTGAGCCGAAGGCAGTCACTTAACTAACTGACCCAACCAGGTGCCCCAGTTCATCCAATTTTAAAAGAGCTCTGAAGGAAGAAAAATTTCAATAGAGAAGGCTCTAGAGAATTAAAGTACCTCAGTCTCTAAATACTCCGCATTACACTGTGCCCCAATTCTTTCTGTTCTAAATAGGTGCTTCTTTGGTATGCTATCAGTGCTGAGCAAACTGGTCCCCTATTTAAGTTATCTGTGACCCGCATTTCTTTAATAGAACTTGTATTAAGTGTTAGTATCTAATATGGAGTTCTTTCAGCCCTGTATTTTCTTCCGTGTTTCCTCTGATTGTAAATTCCATGTGGGCAGGTAATAGACCTACTTTTGTTTATGCTATAACCCTAGAGGAGAGCCCAGAATGTATTTAGAAAGCATATGTTAATGACTGATTACCTACTACTGATACTTTTATTTCCATTTATTCCTTAGCGATTCCCCAGCAAAGCCTGGAGGTTGCGATTATCCCAGGAGAGGACTCATCAAGCTAAATCCTGATCAAATCCGGACCTTTTAGAGCACCGATGAAGGCTGCTGCTATAAGGTCGGGCATGAGGTGGCGCTGTTGCGCTTTATAATGACTTTCCATTTTTCACTTGGACTCAAGTCTCCTTTATACCTGACCATGTAGCAATCACTAGAGGAGGAACTCAGTAAGTAGATCGGTAACAGGTGCAGCTTTTACAGTTTCAGCAGAGGTTTCCTGCTGGCTAGTGTGTGGTGAGTCCCGGAAGCCTCCGTCCCCACAGACTTCCCTTTGTGGGGAGCCCGCCCAAACTCCATCCTTTGCTGGCAGCCACGCCCCACCAGTGGGAAGGAGGGACTGAAAAGCATTTCCTTGAGGCCAGCTCGCCTTGTCGTATCCAAAGCGATCATTTTTTACCCTCTGGCTGAGCCAGTTGCACCTGAAATCAGAGTGGCCGGAGGAGGGACACGGTAGTGAACTGGGGTTGGGGGGCAGGAAGGGTGGGCGCCGGATGGCAGGGATGCAGCTAGGGGTGGACCTGGACGTTTGGGAAGAAAAGAGTGGGGACCAGAGTGGGACGGTTGTGAGCGGCGGTTCGAATTTTATGTGAACGAACAATAATCACCAGGTGAATGAACCCGTATTTCTTTGGAAGGAACATCTTACGGGTTTTGTCTTTTATATGTTTATGACTGTACAGTGTGATATGCCATTCCTTCGTGACCGAATTTCTGTTTTCTTCTTAATTTGTCTTCTCTTTTTCTGTGCCTCTTTCCCTTCTCCCTGTCAACCTCGTCCCCATTTTGTCTGCTTTCTTTCCCTTTCATTTAGGTGACCGTGGCCTCTTTCTGTTAGGAATCCTCTTGCCATCTGAGTTTCTCATACATTTCAGACCAAGCTTTCTTCCTGCTACTTAGTGAGAGCCATCAGCGGTTGTGGAAATCAAGCACTCAGGCTCCTGTAAGGTGCAGCACGCACACACTGAGATGCACCTGAGAACCGTGCCCTCCACCTGACTGACCCTCCTCAGTACTCCTACCCCCCCCCCGCCTCCCCCCCCCCCCCCCCCGCCTCCCCCCTCCCCCCGGGAGGGGCCAGCCTGGTCTTTTAGTGAGAGGTACAGTTGTCCCAGGAACAACCTGGGTTTGAGTTGTGTGGGTCTCCTTATACATGGATTTTTAAAAATAAATCCAGAACAGTGCTGTAAATGTAGTTTCTCTTATGATTTTTAAGTGTTTTCTGTAACTTACTTTATTATAAGAGTACAGTATATAATACATATAATCTACAAAATAAGTGTTGCTCGATTGTTTATGTTAATGGTAAGACTTCCAGTCAACAGGCTAGTAGTAGTTCAGTTTTTGGGGAATCAAAAGGTATGTGCTTATTTGCTGCTGCTCAGGGGGTCGGTGTCCCTAAACCCTGCATTGTTCAAGGGCCAACTGTTGGGGCAGACTTCAGAGATATTGCGGGTTTGGTTTCAGACCACTGCAATAAAGCGAACATTGTAATGAAGGGAGTCAAATGAAATGTTTGATTCCAGTACAAATAAAAGTTATGTTTACACTGTACTGTAGTCCATTAAATGTGCAATAGCATTATGTGTAAAAAAACAATGTGCATACCTTGATTAGAAGTACTTTATTGCTCGGGAGCCTGGGTGGTACGGTTCGTTAAAGTGCCAGGCTCTTGCTTTCTGCTCAGGTTGTGATCTCAGGGTCTTGAGATAGAGCCCAGCACCAGGCTCCATGTTCAGTGTGGAGTCTGCTTAAGACTCTCTTTCCTGGACGCCTGGGTGGCTCTGTTGGTTAAGGGTCTGCCTTCGGCTCAGGTCATGATCCTGGGATCGAGACCCACATCGGACTCCCTGCTCAGTGGGGAGCCTGCTTCTCCCTCTGCCTGCCGCTCCCCCTGCTTGTGCTCTTTCTCTCTCTTTGACAAATAAATAAATAAAATCTTAAAAAAAAATTATCAGGGGCATCTGGGTGGCTCAAGCGGTTGCGCATCTGCCTTTGGATCGGTCATGATCCCGGGGTCCTAGGATCCAGCCCCATGCTGGGCTCCCTGCTCAGCGGGGAACCTGCTTCTCCCTCTCCTCCTCACCTGTGCTCTCTCTCACTATCTCTGTCACTATCTATGTCTCTCTCTCTCAAATAAATAAATAAATAAAATCTTAGAAAAAATTATCATTGTTTTTTTTTTAAAGACTCTCCCTAGGGGTGTCTGGGTAGCTCAGTGGGTTAATCATCTGCCGTGGGCTCAGGTTGTGATCCTGGGGTCCTTTGATGGGGATCCAGCCCTGCCTCGGGCTCCCTGCCAAGCGGGGAGTCTGTTTGTCCCTCTCCCTCTGCCCCTCCCCACAGCTCCTGCTTGCTCTCTCTCATGCGCATGCCTTCTCTCTCTCAAAGAAATAAATAAGATCTTGGGGTGCCTGGGTGGTTCAGTCGGTTAAGCATCTGCCTTAGACTCAGGTCATGATCCCAGGGTCCTAGGATTGAGTCCTGCATTCGGCTCCTTGCTCATTGGGGAGCCTGTTTCTCCCTCTGCCTGCAGCTCTCCCTGTTTGTTCTCTCTCTCTCTCTCTCTGACAAACAAATAAAATCTTAAAAATAAATAAATAAATAAATAAAATCTTTAAAAAAAAGTTGCTGGACTGGGGGGTGGGGGGTAGGGATGGGGTGACTGGGTGATGGACACTGGGGAGGGTATGTGCTCTGGTAAGCGCTGTGAATTGTGCAAGACTGTTGAATCTCAGATCTGTACCTCTGAAACAAATAATGCAATATATGTTAAGAAAGAAAAAAAAAAGAAGAATGTAGCAGGAGGGGAAGAATGAAGGGGGGAAATCGGAGGGGTAGACGAACCATGAGAGACGATGGACTCTGAAAAACAAACTGAGGGTTCTAGAGGGGAGGGGGTGGGGGGATGGGTTAGCCTGGTGATGGGTATTAAAGAGGGCACGTTCTGCGTGGAGCACTGGGTGTTATGCACAACCAGTGAATCATGGAACACTACATCTAAAACTAATGATGTAATGTATGGGGATTAACATAACAATAAAAAATTAAAAAAAAAAGACTCTTTCCCTCCCCCCCAATATAAATAAATCAATCCTTTAAAAAAACTTCATTGCTAAAAGCATGTTAACTGTTACCTGAGCTTTCAGCGAGTCATAATCACTGAATGCAGACCACGGTAACAAATAAAATAATAATTTAAAAAGTTTGAAATGTGAGAATAACCAAAATGTGACACAGAGACACAAAGTGAGCAAATGTTGTTGAAAAAATGCAAGGTTGCCACAGACCTGCAGTTTGTAAAAAACACAGTATCTGTGAACCTCAAGAAAGCAAAATTCAATAGGACCGCACACCTGTTTGCTTCGTACACCCTTTCTTCAGTGCCTTTATCACGGTGTTAGTTTGCTGGGGCTGCTCTAACCAACCACAAGCTGAGTGGCTTGAGCAATAGGAATTTAGTGTCTCATAGTTCTGGAGGCCAGAAGTCTGAAGTCAAGCTGTTGGCAGTGTTGGTTCTTTCTGAGCGCTGGGAGGGAAAGATTTGTCCCAGGCCTTTTTCTTTCGCTTGTAGAAAGATGGCCGTCTTTATGTTCATACAGCATCCTTCCTGCATATGTGTCTTCAAATTTCCCCCTTTTAAGAGGGCACCAGTTGGGGCGCCTGGGTGGCTCAGTTGTTAAGCGTCTGCCTTTGGCTCGGGTCACGATCCCAGGATCCTGGGATCGAACCCCGCATCGGGCTCCCTGCTGGGTGGGAAGCCTGCTTCTCCCTCTCCCACTCCCCCTGCTTGCGTTCCCTCTCTCGCTGCGTCTCTCTCTGTCAAATAAATAAATAAAATCTTTAAAAATAAATAAATAAAAGGACACCAGTTATATTGGATTAGGGCCCACTTTAATGACCTCCTCTTAGCTCAATTACCTCTGTAATGACAATTGCCAAATAAGGTCACATTCTGTGGTACTGGAAGCTAGGACTTCAACATGTGAATTTCGGGGTGCCACACTTCAACCCGTAACAGTTCCTTGTTCTTGAATTACGTACACACTCCAAGTTAGTTGAGCACATGTATTTCAGTTGTCTTCTGCAGAAACTTTGTTTTCCCACCTTTTCCAACTCTCGGCAACCAGCTCCTGGGAGCATGTGCTCCAAACTCCTACAGGGACTTTTGTGATTCTGCAGCTCTGTTTTAAACTGAGTGTGTTGGTTTCCTTTTTTATTTTATTTTATTTTTTTAAAGAAGAGAGAGAGGGAGAGAGTATGTGCGCTGAGGAGGGGGTGGGTGGTGAGGGTAGGGGCAGGGGCAGAGGGAGAGGGAGAGGGAGAATCTTAAGCAGGCTGCGAGCCCAGTGCAGAGCCTGACACGGGGCTCGATCCCACGACTTTGAGAGCATGACCTGAGCCTAGATTAAGAGTCAGACGCTTAACCAACTGAGCGCCCCAGGTGCCCCGAGTGTGTTAGTTTCCTACTGCTTCTGTAACAAATCAGCACACATTTGGTGGTTTAAACCAACACAGATTTTTATCTTACAGTTCTGGAAGTCGGGAGTCTAAGATGGGTAGACTGGTCTGCATTGCTTCTGGAGGCTCTAGGGGAGCATCCTTTTCCTTGCCTTTTTTCAGCTTCTAAAGACTGCTTGCATTCCTCGGCTTGTGACTCTTCCATCTGCAAAGCCATGTCGTTTTTCTCACACTCCTCATGCCGGCAGTGATACTCGGGCCTTTTTCTTCCACATTCAGGGTCTTTGTGATTACATCAGACTTGCAGGATAATCCAGAATAATCTCCCTGTTTTAAGGTCAGTTGCTTAATTCCATCTGCAATCTTTATTCCCTTTTGCTATGTTAACACTATTAAAAACTAACATATTCGTAGTTCTGGAGATTTGGACATAGATGTCTTTGAGGGGCTGTTATCTGCCAGCCACACTGAGCTTTCAATGACTGGGTTTTCTTTATTGGGTTTATTGTCCTATTTTCACTCTGATGGATCAATGTTTTGCTTGCTATGTGTAGCAAAGAACTTTATATCCCTTTTATAGAGAAAACCAGTGTCCTGCCT